GTAGAGAATAAAATCTAATAAATAAAGTTTTTGAGGTAACGGAAAATAAGGAATAAAATATAAATAATAATTTCTGAAAACTAACAGTATTTTGTTACTGAATGTAAATTTTTAAATTTCTTTTTTGAAAAAAAAAGTATTTAAAATCCACCAAATCAAGGCAATAATATTGTTTAAATGACTATTTCATTGTATTTGTGTGAAAGATAAATTGAAATATAAAAATATTTCATGGATATGTTTTTAACCTTAAATACATTTACTGTAGTTTCATAACTCTAGATCTGAAATTATATTTAAATAATTTTGTATCTATTGTCTGTTTATTTCGAAAAATCATTTAGTGAATAATTTGATGAATTTTTCCTTTGTGATATTCCAACACTGTCCACTTACAATTAGCATTACAACTTTTGACCTATCTATGACAGGTAATGCGAATCTCGTAATTCCATTTTATATCAACCGTTGATATAATAAACTTATTTTATTTACTATACATAGAGTGTGAATGTGATCCGTGAACAATATTATAAATGTCCTTGAGACAGATTGTAATATTTTTCAATAAATAAGCTTAGAAAAAAAATAAAATAAAAAATAAATATGAATTAATGATTTGTTAGCCGTAAGCTTTAAGCATTATCTCGATTAAAAACGCACTCAATAAATTTCCTAATAACCCAACATTGCAAGAAAATAATTTCTATTCAAAATTGAGCGGTAGGTGAAAGTTGTGTGTTGCGCGAGCCAGATTATTTTTATTACTATGGGATTTGAAATTAACATGTTTATTGCATTAGCTAGCTTCAGTCACCATATTTTATACGTCGAGTACCTTCAAAGTTGATCAGGTATTTTCAAATACATTATAAATACTTATCACTTTAACTTACTTTATCACTGTTAATCTCTAGTCAAAATGGAAGCTAAAATGTAATGCGAACGATATTTGTTCCTTTATTCTTCACAAAATCCCTCAAATAACTGAAGTCAGGTAGTAAAGTTATATTGTAAACTCAGCTGTAATTTCACTATTGTTCCTATTCAGTTTAGAATGGCTGAAGCAAACTACCTCCGAATGGAAAGATTTAAGTAATTAGTTTGGTTTCCAATTGAGCAGTTTGTAAGAGACAAGAAGGTGGGTGGATACAAGACTAAATACATTACATCCCACGCCATCTTTGCCAAGAGCTCGCGACTTCACTAATCCCATACAGATCTCCTCTCGGTAATTAATTCCTCCCTGAGCCAGCTTTAGAAGCTAGTATTTTATTATTATCTATTTTTTTTACTTTATGAGATTTCGTGTTCGTTCGTTCGGTGAACGAATGAAACTATATACCTATAGTCCCGGTTATAGCAATTACATCAAACAGTCACATTTTATTAAATTTTATTTTATTTGCCAGATTGCTACCTGCAAGATCTCCGATTATTTCTTTGCCGGTTTTGAAACGATATTATAAAAACAATCGCGCCTTTAAGTGGTCAAATTTTTCGTTTTTTTTTCTCCTAGTTTCTTTATTTCGCTCCATGGTAGATTGAGAAAGATTTTTTAAAGTGAAAACGTCTTTTGGCTCGTTTTTCACTTTTTTTTTGGAGACTGAATTATATTGATCCGTCAGATTTCCGAGTTTTAACGATCGGATAAATTCGACTAAATGAAATGTTTTTACATATGGATTAAAATATCTCTGAAATTAAAAATCTGGTCTGCATACTGTGAGGGAGGAGATCGATCAGCATTTCATCCTCTCTGTAATAAGATTATAATTTAAATTGTACCTTTTCAGGAAGGTGAATAGAGAAAAAAAAAAGTGTTAACAAAATTATATAAGGTTAGTTGTACATACGGATTAAAATATATTTTAGATCCAAAAAATCTGACCTGTATACTGTAAGAGATGTTCAACATTTCATCTTCTTTGTAATGAGCTATTGTTTATAATTTATATTTCTTATTATTAATCTCTAAGATTATTACTAATCTCTAAGGTTTTCGAAAATAGAGTATTGCATATAATATTAGGATGAAAGAAAGATGAGTTAACCGGAGAATTCAGAACGTTGCACAACGCCGAGTTGTGTGAACTGTATGCAGTTAATATAATTATTAATTATATTATCAGAGCTGATTACATCGTGGAGAAACAAATGGGCCTGTAAAATTGTTAGGCTTAGTAACGAGAGAATTCTAAAAAGGTAATATTTGTACCGAATGGTAAACATCCGAGGGGTAGACCGAAGCGAAGGTGGGAAATCTACATTAAAGCCGATCTGAAGGGACTGGGTTTGGACGGCGAACGGTGGAAGGAGATATGTAATAACCGATTGGTGGTGTCGGCATCGAACCTCCGGGTTCGCTAAGCGTTTTATTGTATATTATATATTTATTTATTTATCATTAATCTTTATTTATTTATCATTAAACTTGGTGATGTTTTCACTTATATAGTATGGTCCAAAGCACACACCTTAGTTTTTTTTACAAATTATGACTACCGTTGACTAGTGGACATCGTTACCATGTCCTGTGAAAATTCTTTCACTTCATGTAACGTTCTAATTTTAATGTTATCTGAGAACAGTTTTTTTTAATCTGGGCGTGATTACAGCCAGATTTTTTGTAATATAAAGGAGTAAAGATAAACAAAATATCCTATGACATCAACTTCATCAAAATAATAATCAAGAGAAATAGTTGATGCAATTTCTATGACCGCGTTTGTAGCTATTAAAGTTAAATTGTAGATGTTTTTCTTTTTCTCTTTGAAAATTGTTAAATAAAATTTAACCTAGCTCGTTTTAAAAATAATAAAACAAAAAACAAAGTCAGAAATATTTGATTATATTGCAGAGATACCCCCTCCCCCCGCTACCTGTAATATTGCAAGCATTCCTCAGAAATGTTCCTCCCACGAATTCCAGTTATTTATATCATCGTACCTCAGAAGTTTCTTTTATTATTTTTGTATTCATAATACTGAATGAGTTTTCCTTGAACGTTCTATAGAAAATGTGATATTGTTTTTCATATATGAATTTTTGTTAAATATATATCCTTTATTGTTTTAATTTTTAGAAATAAATTTTTATTTCAATAATATATGATAGTTATGCATATTTTTTTCTTCCTTGTATTTCTACTAATCAGCTGTTCAATATAATCTTCGTTTTCCTTCAGTATGTATTTTTTTTTTTTAACTTTCTTTATTGAATATTAATACTTCTGCCTCATTGAAGGGCATTAATATTAAGGCTACATGAATCATTCACACAATATGTACATAAGATTAATATCAATAATAAAGAAAAAGCAATATAAAAAAAAAAATAAGTAAATTGGTATGCCTGTGTACAAAAAAAATAATGAAATAATAGATAAAAGCTAGATGAAATTAAAGTAAATAAATCACATTCACACCTATGTACAATATTTACATTCACCCAGGGGACTCTGAGTCATGCCTTATTCCCCGACGTGGAAGCCAAGGCAGGACTCCAGGAGATCCCAGTGCTTCTCTCTCAGCCGCGTCACTGTTATTTGAAACCAGTGGAAACTGATGGAGGGCACTATAGCAACAGACGCTCATGTCTTGAGTGGAGAATCTAGCCATTGCCAGTACTCCAATATATACATATTTACAAAAGGTCGCGGGGCCACTGCCGTTTTAACCTCCGGGGAGGATTGCAGGGATGACTGGAATCAGATAGGGATTGTGCTACAGGATTTGGATGATTGAGTGAGTTTCTGGTTAAATTTGGAAAAATTTTCTGGGATTAGGTCAGTATGTATTTTGATAGCTGTCATTATAAATTTTTTATTAGTGCCGACGTTTCAACCCAAATATGTGGGTCATCATCAGAGCGTGGTTCGAGCACTGAAGGTATTAAAGCACTTGATACTTCAGAGTACTTGATTACCTTCAGTGTACGAACCACGAACTGATGATGACCCACATATTTGGGTTGAAACGTCGGCACTAATAAATACTTTATAATGGTTGCGCCCTGAATATTTATTATCCATGATATGTAGAATAGTCGACTTAGCTTCCTTCAATATACTCACAAGAACTTTTGTAACAACCTCATACAAGGCGATTAAAAAGAAGCCAGATGAGAGATCTCCTTTCAAGAATCAAAGACTAATAAAACTCGGAAAGATAATTTGACCGCACAATTGCTTAGTGCCTCTTTTGTCTATGACCGTATAAACAAAAAACCTAAGAAGAAGAATGTCGTAACTTCAGTTTCGCTGAAATTTTTCTATTGTTCATGTTTTTAATTTTAGGTGATAAAGGTGCGCGAAAAGATTTAATTTTCCGCTAGATGCGCCCCAGTTCACATTAAAAACAATTTATACACTTGTTCCTGGCTTAAATCTGACATTTTGGTTTGAAATAGAAAATTTCAAAACATACGGAAAGTATTGCGAGTAATATAACACTGGAGCTCTCCAGAACGGTAGGGCGATAGATAAAAAAAAACTTCTTGGACAAAGTCACTTTAGAATAACAAAATAATACAAAATTAAACGATTACTACATCTGGCCTAAATAAAAACAAAAAAAGAAAAAGAAAGGGAAAAAAGTAAAGTAAGCATTAGTTAATAAACATGGTATATAAAAAATAAATAAACATATATACAATACATTTATACAAATACATTTATTTTTTCTTTAAAATAAACTCTGTATTTCTGCAAAGAAAAAAGATAGCCGAACAATAGATATGTTTATATTTTTCAGTAAAAAAAATTGTAATATGTTGCAACAACTTGGCCTCATGTGTCATCAAAATCTGTTGGGACGGTTAAATTTCTTGAAGTATTTTCTTTTAACGATTTGATTAATAAAAGCTTAGAAGTTTAACTCGTCCTTCTTAGTTTCTATTTAAATAGTTACTTTCCATCGCCCTAACTAATGCTTTCATTAGGATTCGCATATGAGAAGGAAGCCGTGCGGTCCTAGCGTGGGATCCCTGCCTCAGGATTGATGAATTGTCCTGGCTCCTGCAGGTCGTTAGTCCTTAAGGATATAGTCATGACAAACGAGTCCTTTCTCTGCATCTGCTCCGCTAATGTCCTGGCCTTTCCTCTATGTATGTCAGATAGAGAACGATTTTAACTCAGTATTTTATTTTTCTTGTTGTTTTATTTCTATTATGTAATTTATTTATCTATTACGTGACTATCCATATTTTCTCTATGTATAGATTTTCCAAGTCTGCATATCATAACTATTTTTCATCCTTACAATTTTGACTGTCAGTTATATTTTCATCTGTAGGTAACGTTAAAGTTATTTTTCAACATTTCTGTGAACATTCACTTTGATAGACTTAGATTATGAATTAAAACTCGACTTATTTTGAACTCAGAACGTTTTTCCTATGTACTGTTAATATAAACGTATTAATATAGAAGAATGTTAATTTTTTTTTTTGGAGGTGCGCTTCAGCCCAACAGATTTTTTTTTTATACATACAAGGATTATTACTAAGGAAAAAACTAAAAAAACTAACTACTTATATGAAATAGTGTTTCAATGATTCGTGACGTTCTATTCGATATAATTACTCGAATTCAATGCTCCAATCCAATTCTTTATATCTTTTTGTATTTTGTCCGTTCTAGCCCTGAAGAAGACCTGCAAAGTCGGGTCGAAACGTTGGCTTTCAATAAAATAGTTTTGCCTATATTTAGCCTATTTATGACCGCCATCCCGGACCATCTCCTTCCTTTATAATGCAACGGTCAACTATTAAATATTCAATAATACTTTTTGAGATAAGTTTTTAATATTATTTTGATATAAGACATGTTTATTTCTTACCATTTTGGGGGAAATGATGCTTCAGCTCGAAAGCCCCCCTCCAATAGATCCGCCTGTGGGGACGGTTAATCAAATTTGAACCTCAAGGATTAAATGCGAGATGCCCTGGGAATACATAAGTTGTTTTAAGTACAATTGTTGATCTGTACTGGATTGTAAAAACCCTGATAATTCCATTCCACTCCCTAAGAACCAACATACCTTTCTTAAATGACTTGCTTTCGGAAGAGCATTCCGACCGAGCGACCCCTAACAGATCGGAACACCCTCCGAAGCCGGCAAACAAGGAGATGAAGGCATTATCGCCGCAGTGGAGTCTTCTAAGACATTAGATCCGAGGACGGGGAGAGCGAACAGCGAAGAGCGAACAGCGGAGAGCGGAGAGGGATGGCGCAGTCAGTTTCATTTACTGCGGGAGGCAGAGAGGTGTGAAATTGGAAAATCCCGAAGACGGCTCGCTATCAACATGCCCTCGCAAAAACTCAGCCTGCATCTTCTGCAGTTCGAACCTCTTTGTATTCCACAGAGGTCACAGGCGTCACGTGGAGTCAGGATTAGGATTAGGAAGTTCGGAACATCGATACTCTGCTATCTGTACTATCGATTATCATTTCAATGATTTCATATCAAGTCATCCTCAAACTTAAATATTAATAATTATATCGATAATTTGGTTAGTGGAAATTATTCTCCATAGATCTTATTATTGTATTTTATTGATGGTACAAGTGTAACTTTGGAGTGAAAAGTTTAACGGTGGAGTAAGTTTATATTCACTGAAAATATGTGAAAATAATGAATACAAAAAATAAAGATTTGTGCACCTTACACAATTTCAAAATTGAAAACTAAAATTACAAATGAAAGAAAAAAAAACGCTGCTAATTATTTCACAATGGTTTATTATCTCCAAACAATTACACATTTAAAGTAACATTACCTTCCGAGTTACAAAGAAAAAAAAAACAAAAGGTGATTCCAATTATTGGACTAAGCTTTTTTTTTTATCATTAGTAATATGCTAAAAAAACATTAGGATTACTTCAATCACACAATCAAAATTTTTTTTATTTTTTTTTATTGATAAATATTACAATCTGTATCAATAAAGGACATTTATAATAGAGTTCTGAGAGCACATTCACACCATATTTACAAATTAAAAAAAATAAGCTTACTTCAAATAATATAAAGCTACAAAAGAACAAAATAAAATATCATAGTGAGAAAGAAAAAAAAAGTAATGAAAATAAACATCTTAGACGCAGGCATACCTAAACATTCAAAATTGGAAAATCAAAACAAAGAATATAACCTTTGGAGTAGAATATATATAAAAAAACTAGAGACAATATCTTTGCTCCTAATTCTCCATTTTAACGATTTTTTTCATATTTTAGGAAATTCCGAAAACTTAAAAAAAACAAACATAATTTTACCATCCCTCATTACTTTTTTTTCAGCTCCTTTTCGTTGAAGTATGTTATATAGATAAATTTAAAGGGCGTCGAGAAAATGACTTTAGCGAAGTTTCATTGAAATCGCTACATTCGTTTAGGCGCTATAGTCTATAGCAACGCTAGTTTTTCGGCCGCCATTTTGAAATTAAAAGGCGGATAATACTGTCGATGAAGGAGGATCATCCTCGGGTGACCTCTGATTTTATATCCAAATTTGAAAACAATCGGTCCAGTAGTTATGGAGAAAATGCGCGGGCGGCGGACGGACAAAAAAAATTTTTTTTATTCGTTTTTCGAATTCTACGTATCTTGAAACGTAAAACCTCAAATTTTGGGAGGTAGTTAAATTTTTAAAACTAAAATTGGTTCATTATTGAAAATATTAAACCAAAATGCAATTTTTGGCTTTATGAACTGTATAGTTGATGATGCTTCTATTTTTGCTTGGAAATGAGAATGTAATTTGTGCTAAAATATATAGACGTACTTGGAGTTAAAATGATTTTTATATTTCAGGTCTCCCATTTCCTCCGTACATCCAACACCCAGGCTAAGGCTGTTCTACTTGGGCTTTTAGAACATTGCTAACACAGCTTGTTCACAATGTCTAGTAAATTTGCAAATTTCATTGTAATCTGAGATTTTAGCACTTTACGCCAGTAATGAGGAAAATGGAGGCCAATAAAAGGTGGTAGGCTGATAGGTCTTATTTTAATTGATCTCTGAAGAGATCGCTTTAGTATTACGTTGTAATCATCGCATTAGATCCTTTTCGCTCTCAAGAAAGATTTATTTTGCTGAATGAGATATCAATTTTTTTTTTTTAAATCTATTTATTGGATAATAATACAATCAGCCACTGCATGAGGGCTATAAGTATTAGGGCTAAGAGTTCTCATTCATACAGTATATACACATAATAGAGAAATAAATATAAATATAAAAAGTAAATAAATAGTACCGATGAATAAAGTAAATAAAAGAAAAAAAAGTAAACAAATAACATAAAATAGAAAATTCTAAACACAATCATACCTATATACAATATATACATTCGCCCAGGAATCTCCGAGCCAGGCTTTTTCCCCCACATGTGGAAGGCAAAGCAAGATTCCAGGAGATCCCAGTGCCACTTTTCCAGCCGCATCACTGGTATTAGAAGCCAGTGGAGACTGAAAGAGGGCACTAGAGCCACAGGCGCTCAGGACATGAGTGAAGATGCTGGCCATTGCCAGGAAGATATTAATAGTAAGAAAATTTCATTTAGAGTGATGAAGGTTAATTTCTATCTTTAAATTCTTACAACTTCATAAAAGACATCGAAAAAGTTAGAAGGTTTCAAAACTCATGAAGACTCTGCTTCCAACTTTATATTAGTATAATGAGCTTGCCTCCAAGGAAGATATTTACATATCTGGCTGATCTTTTCATGCACCATATTTTGCTGGTGCTTCAGCTTCCTCATTACCTGATAACCCTGTCTGCAAATTAAGATATATCTAACTTCTAGAATCAGCGCCTTCATCAATCCTGACATATATCATCTTAATTTGTTAAATTAAAGGAATCCTTTTTCATTGATTAATTAGTTTCATTGAACAATACATCCAACTAAACAAAAAAAAAACATAATGTATGTTTAGATCTGGAACACATTAAGAAGTTGACGAACAACAGAACAAATTATCAAACAAAAAATGAAAACAAACTTTGTTCAAAACTTTTTTAAATCCCAGTTAATCCGTTATGTAGGGAAACTGGAAGCTGTTGATGGATGGAAAAGTATGATAGAGGAAACGGCTAATATTGACTCTCTTTCAGTTTTCTCTTTGTTAAGCCACTTCCACCACATTATGTAATTAAGTATGTAAAAATGTTCATGCCTATTTTTTCTGTATATTTATTAGAAGATTTTGTGCATGCTTTATTTTGCTTCATTTTGACACAATTGTTTATTCTTTTGGCATTTTACTAACTTAAAATATGAGTAAAAAATATATATGTAATAAAATTTTATCTGAAGCATTACTGTAATAAAAGAATAAAATAAAATAAATCTCTACTACTAACTTCGAGGTTTTTATGTTTGAAGAAACGTAGAACTTTATTTCGAAAAAAAAAATCCATCTGTTTGTCATTCCTTAATATGTTGGAAAAATATTATTTTCTATTCAAATTGCAGTTAGTTTCTATGGAATATTTTCCATTTATATGTTATAAAAATAAACTACAATAATTCAAAGTCATTAGCTATTCATTACTCTCAGTTAAGTTCAAATAAATAACAGAATTCGAGCCAAATTCAACATATGAGTTTCTAAAAAACATTCATAAAATTTCTGTCAAGAGTCTAAAAAATAATATACGACTGAATTTTGTAGATTATGGCAGAATAACTTTTTTTAAGTCAGCGTTCTGATTTCATTCAAACCTTCACAACCAAAAAACCTACTTAATTTGTTGATTTAATTATTCCTTTTTTCTACTGTTTGTTCAGCTGTACTCTAAACCCCAGTTCGAAAATTTAACTCGAGAGCCCAGTCCCATAAGCCCATTAGTCCATAAACCTGTTTATTCCTTCTCATAGGACTGTTTCTTTTAAAAAATCCTTTCTTGTACGTGCTATCTAGTTTTGAAATTCCTTATTAATTTCTGTACTTATAAACTCATCTTTATCTTCTTTTAAGCTCCAATTATTCATCCTTCTCTAGAATCAATCTTCCGAATATATGTAACAATTAAACTTTCGTATTCAAGTGTTGCCAGCCTCCTTTTGCTGTTATTTCACACTAAAAATACGTAAACATAATGATATTTATTTATCTATTATTTAATTTGTTTCCTTTTACTTATCCTTTATTTTAATTCTAAGATTACAACACTCTATAATTTAATTATTTCTTGCCATTTTACGGATAGATGACACTTCTATTGTTCATTATTCAATTCAATTCATTCCTTATTTGTTTGAAGAGAATAACCCGATACAAATGGAGTCTATCAAAATATAACAAACATTATTATCGTTATGGAAATAATAATTCCTTTTTATAATACATAACAGATATTGCTACACTCTTAAGCATAAATTAAAAATCATGTCCGGTAAAAGTCAGACAGTTTAAAATATTTCCAATTATCAAATTAATATCAAATCTAAAATTGTCAACAATACACATAATACAATAAGGACAATGAATAAACATCTTTTTAAAATATTAATATTAAACTATGTTTTAAAATTAAATTAAAAGATTACAGCTATACCTAAGAGAACAAACAAGAAAAATACCCGGACATATTACATACCGATGTATGATATGGATTTTTTGCCATAATAAGTGGAGGACAATATTCCTAATTACCTTACCAATTATCTATAATTTGATATAATTGAGACAAAAAAATATAATTTTCTCAAATCTTCTGCACTGGTTGGCTTAAATATTTCTATCCCATCAAGATTTTCCGTACCCTGGTAAATTCTTACCCTTAAACTTCTGTAAATTGGGCATTTAAATAATATATGATGAAGTGTTTCCTTTTCTTTAGTGTTGTTCGTTATTATTATTCTTTAGTGACTAAGTGACTAAATGTCAAAAAAAAATATTACTTTTCTTCTTCCTCGATGACCGTTACGCCATTGGAACAGATTTATAAATAAATATATATTTGGTGGAAAAACAAACAGAATAAATTATTTTAATAAAAAATAATTCCATTTACAGTAAGGTCACTAGGTGATTGAAAGTGTATGAGAATACAGGAGAGTAGTTGCGAGTTGTACATCCCCAGGTACAATAATCGATTGCATTTTGTATGAGCCCCTACGAGCTGTACTAACTAATACGAGCGATATGGGAGGATCAATACGTTCGCTATCAGGCCAACTAATTCGGTCGACTCCACCATTAAAATAACTGCTCCTAAAATAGGAGTTAGTGAAGTTATTCATTTCCCCATTGGAGAATTACTGAACCGTTACAGCCGCTGTAACAGTTACCGGACAGCAGTAACAGTAACTGCTTTCGCCGAGGAGGTTATTGGCAGGCAACGGGACGGAATAACCTCCCATTCTCCTTCGGGAACTGCTACCTTCCTTCCAGTTTAATTCTTCAGTAGCCATTACCTTCTCGTATAGTCTTCGGGCCTTTTAGCCTCGCCTCCTTTTAACCTGGGAATGAAAACTTAATGTATCGTTCTTAACAGATAGGTCTATATATATGTGTGTGTGTGAGTGTACTTGTTTTTATTTTATCCTTATTATTTTATCTATATTGGTGTTCTTTAGCTTGACTAAATTTATTTTTTAAGATGTCATTTAAGTCTATCAAGTCTGTCAGTTTTAGTTTTGAATTCTTATACTATATATTTCATCCACTTACCTTACTGTCCATGCTGTCATAAGAACCTTTTTCTTGGTGGGAGAAAATAACTGATTTATGTAGTAAAATATTTTTTACCAAATGCGAGAAAATGTAAGTAAACATTTCTGTCCATCCTTCCAGCGTACGCTTGTAATCTCCCGAAAAATATAGACTTATCTCAATTCGAAATGAGAACTTCTCTTTTCCATAAAGGTGTGAACAATACTAGAGTTTTCCGTTGCAAAAATAAAACTTCATTGTATGGTTAACTGTCCCTGCATACTATCTGAGATAAATGGTCCTGTGTGAACTTGAATGTCCTAATAAATGACGGTTGTAATTCCATTGAATCTTTACTGTAATTGTACATTTTTTTACTTTGCTACCTATACTAGGTAAGGAAAGTATTGCGATCGGGTCAAATTTCCGATATGTGGTTTCCGAGGGATCTAAACGTTTCAGAGCCCTCTGAGTCCAAAAAACACATTTTTAGTCCATTGGTCAGTCTGTCTGCCTGTATTTTTTTTTAAAGATAATGAAATTCCCTACAAAACTATATAAAAATCGTTCATTTTGGACAACTATTAACGAAGTTACAACTATTCAATGTCCAATGTAAGGTTACGGGTTCATATCCCGGTGTCAGAAAGGGGCAAATAAGAGAAAAAAGATAACTAATTAAGTAAGAAAATCTGTTGCCCGCATCACACAACATTCACTATTTCCTCTACTTTTAACAGAAATTATTGTTTGACAATACTAAGCTATGGCTAAAAGTTTTTGATCAATAATATTAAAAGATATTGAAATTTTTACACCGATCTATCTTAAGCCGGTTTACATTGCTTTAGTTTATCAAATAAATCGTACTCAAATATTTTCTTTGATCAATTTTTCAGGAAGATAAATTTAATTCACTTTTTTCGTTTCTTGATGGACTATTTAAAGATATAATTTTTTTTATGAAATAGATACGAAAGTAGTGTGAGTGGACACACCATATTTTTTTCTTCGTATTGCTAAAATCTAAGTAATAACCTTTAGAAAATTGGGCCGAATCACGTAGTTGATGAATAAGGCTCTCCATGAATAGTTCGTAATGTAAACTTTAAGAATACTTTACATTGTGTGGCACCTAAGGATGCAAAATGAATCATCAAATCTAGAAATCAATCGTATTAATATTCAAAGATTCAGTGGTTTGTGAATAAGTACCGTTTCATAGCCAGCGGTAGTGCGCAAGAACATGATTGGGCCGATACCATGCTCAATCGACAGGTTTTACTTATTATTTGTTTAATTAAGGTTACTCACTTCATGCAGGCTGTGTGCCACTGGAGGATCTCTCGATCTCAGGGTCGATCCACGACTGATGAAACAGAATCAATAATTGCCTTCCACCAGCCGGATTCGAACCCAAGACCTTGAGCTGGAGAAGTCAGCTCAATCATATGAGTATATACAGTCTTTAATCCAGTAGCCATTTGCTAAATATTACACTGAATCTCGATCTTACTGTTATGAATGTTTTGTATTATTTATTTAATATTATGTATTCTGTATTATTTATTTGATATTATATAGTTTGCCTTTGTATAATTGAATACATATTGTTCCTCTTGTTCGCAGGTCGTGCCAGAAAGCCGTGGGGGGGTCGCCCCACCGAAGAAGACCCCGCCAGACCGACACCTTCGCCGAGGCCCTGGCCAAGTTCCCACCACCTCCTCCTCCGGCCCTCATCAGGAAGTTGGGCTCCAAGGAGCTATGTGGGCTCGGCAAGGTCAGTCCTCTTTATATATATATATATATTTATATATATCTTCATAATGTTTGTTTACTTCTTTGGTATTTGTGACGTAAATCACCAACCAGAGTTCTCCGTAAAAAGTTTTGTGTAATGATTTTTTGTTTGGACTCTTTGTATTGTGAAATAAAAGCACTCGTTACATTATGAATTGAGTTCCTTGTTTTGTATTTTTGTTCGTAATAACACGTATTTTTGTTATCGTTTGTTTCTTTTTACTGATCAGCTGTTTGATTATAACCTGCATCAGCTGTTTTACCTCCCCTGATATCTTGCGGAGTGATGTTATCTTCAATTTGTTTCTCTCTCTATTCTGATTATGCCTGTATTGCTGAAACGTTGAAGGGTTGTATTGTTTTTTAATGCATTGTATAGACACATGGCTCACTAGTTATATACACATATATACATATATCAGACGATTAATGTTTCATTACCTTGAACCAGACATGGACTTAACTCATAAAATTAAGCAAATGTTTATAAATCAATAAAGCAATACACACATATAGCAACTTTATTTTTTTTTAAAGTATTTCCTCCATTTTATGAAATAAGTCATGTTTGGTTCAAGGTAATAAAAAATTACTTGTCATATTTTTAAATTACAGGAATATTTTCGAAAAACAGTGGTTAACAGTTGTCCCGTCGAATAATGAATATTGCATGATATTATTTTACATAATATATAAAGATATATATTTAAATAGGTGATAGCTGATCTCAACACAAAATAGTTTGAACAATTCGATGGAACATTGAAAATTAGGATCTTATACTATAAAATCGAGCTGTGTTTTATTATTTCTTCACTATATTTATTTCAGTCTAAATCAGCTAAGTTTTATTTGATTTTCATACCGTTTTATTTAATCATGCTTGTTGCATATAGCCATAATTTTCACTACATGCAACAAGCATGATGCCTTGAAAATTAGTAGCTGATATAGACTGAAATAAATATAGTGAAGAAATGATAAAACAGCGTTATTTTATAGTATTATAAATATTACACCTAAAACAAACAAGCACATATCGTTAGGAATTTATGTTTTGTTTTTTCCTTAAAGTTTGTTGTAGAAAAGCAAGTGATAACTAAAAAATATATATAATTGGTGTTCTTTATCATTCTCCAACTCGAATGGAATTATCCATCTTTAGAAAAACTTCCTTGTTAAACAACCCCTACGTTCTCATTAATTAGTTGGAGAGTGGTTAAAACAAATGTCTAATAATCAATGATTTTATGAAAAATATTTAAAGAATATTTTGTCTTCTTTACTATGAAGCGATTTGTTATTAAATTCATTAAATATTATTTTAGTTATCAGTTTCGATTCAACTATTTTTTTAAATATTTCCCTTTGTATTTATGATTGTTTTTTATTAAAGCTAGACCAGGATGGTCCACCAACACAATGTTTGTACACTCCTATCTTTGACGAAGTCCTTTAAAGTTGTTAACGACTCTTTAATGTAAGTGGCACTAAGAGGAGACATTTGAATAATTCTAATACAACAGGGGGCTTTTAGGGACCGGGATGTTATTTATCTGGACCCCAGGCAAAGGGAAACAGCATTCACTCGAGAATGAAATGAATCCTTTAAAAAGAAATTTGAAAGTTGGAAATGGGCTATAAATTTTGGGCGGGTGCCCCCCTTCCACGACCCTCCCTGCTCTTTTGGGAGAAACTTCTGAGAGCCCCCCTCTATCGTAATCTTCATGGTCCAAGGCCAATGGGGCTGGTCCTTGGGTATCCTTCGTGAGCTATGTTTTCATTGGTTAGCAAATTTACTTTTATCTCCTCCTATCATACTATCAACAATAAATTTAATAACAGCATAATTAGGTTATTTGTTTCACCGTGTAAAGAAGAATAGTAATGTTATATACGAGTACATATATTAAAACGAGATATATAAAATAGATTAAATATGGTTTTAATAATTTTAACTTCTTTTTTATTATTACTAACATCACCACATTTATACACAAGAATATGACACAGTATGGCAGTACATCTAAGATACTAGCTACGTATATGAAATAATGTTTAAGTGATTCTCGGAGTCCTATTAAATGCAATTAGACGTACGATAAAACTTTAATAATGGATAATTTTTTTATATTGTTTTTCATAAAACATGGTTACATTTTACTATTTTTGGGAGAACTTCAGCCCGAAAATTCTCTATATGCCCTCCTCGGTAGATTCGCTTGTGCATCCTAGCACCTCTTTCTTTGCCTAATTCGTTTAATTTAGTCAGGAAGGAGATCGAGAGATATTTTTGTTTTTTTCCCAGTACTGAAAGGATGATCAATAGTATTCATTTCCTCAATCGATTATAATCTTATAAGGAACCTCAAGTTATTGCAAAATCGTTACTAAAGATCCGAGAGAGGTGTGTCCATATCACAGTTTTTCATTAATTGGAATTTATAAATATTTAGTCATTAAACTCAAAGAGATATTTCGTCGGATAAAAATTTATTTTGCCAATATTCTTAATTGAAAATTAAACAAACTAATTCTTAAATTAAACTATCTAGCTCCATAAATCGAAGACCACATTTAAAAATTCCAATTTTCTTCCATGAAATATTCCAAACGTCCAACCTTTGTCTCTAAATTCAGGTTAAAGAATAAAATAACCCGCAGACGTTTCGCCAATGTAGGTATCAACCGGACGGAAAAGAAAACAAATCAAGATCACGTCACTACTTTATTCGTTTTGATCATCCCTGAAAGGTTACAATGCTCTGTAATAGCGGGTAAAGATACGAGAGGTAGGCCGAAGCGAAGGTGGGAAGATTGCGTTAAGGCTTGAGATAGTTTTGTTTGGACGCCAATCCGTGGAGGTTCATTTGCTGAGACTTCATTGTAACTTTCTCTAGGATACATACTGACTGGCTCTTTGATATATACTTTTGAATACCTCATTATTAATTTCTCTAAAAGAATTAATCTTATATTAAGTCAGTTTCTTGTAATCAAGCTCCCGCACTGTGTTAATATATTATTAAAAACGGATCTTTGGGCTCCTATAGCCTATCTTCTTATTAATTATTTTATTTACACGAGTATGTTTATACATGTATATATAGTTAAGAGTTATTGGTGGTAAAGAGTAGTTATTAACATTAATAGTTATATTATTCAGGTTTATAATTAATTAAAGTAATTAGTAGTAAAGAGTTGATGCTCGCTTATAACATTCGTACAGATATATGTGCCGTTCTGTGGTGGATTGTCTATTTGCTAGGTAATGTGGCTAAATCAATACGAAGGGAAAACCCAATCAGAATATCACAATTTTCCGAAGAGCGGTCGGCAGTCGGCAGTCCAGTCCTGCAGGACATCTGAAGCCATACATTACAGACAGACAGCCGAGGGTAAGAAGCTGCTGGACATAAGTAATGCCCCTGCTGGGACTTGATGGATGTCTTGCGTCTTATCTTGTACCTCGGGGGACCTCCCTATAGGTCCCACCTCCAGGGGATCCTTCGGGTATAGACCTGGAACCGGTCAGTGCTGGAGGTGCTCTGTATTCAAATCATTCTGGAGTATATGTCGGTTTTGGATGACGTAGGCTGTGGGTGGCTGAGGTTCAAGGGGTGTAATTAAATATGAAGAAATAGAAGAAAAAATTCATTTGCTGAGCAGTTTTTGGTCCATGTTTTAATTTTTTTTCCTACACACCTGTCATAAACTTCACAATAAGTAGATGTCTTGTTTAGTAAAATGTAAATGTATCCACGATAAAGAACACTATCCATTAATTCCTCTTCCTGATTTTAGTTTACTTCCTTAATTCATGAAAGGAGATCTCTCATCCAGCTCCTTTTCATTCACCTCCTGATGGGTATGTCAATTGTGGCTATGTCGTTTATAAGTCTGTTGTTATGTCCCTGTTGCTTAATGTTAAATCAGGAGTAAAGAGTATATGTTGGTTGTTGTAAGTCTGTATGTAAAGTTTTGTTGTTTATGTACAAGAGTCTTAAAATTTTGATTATATTTTTTGTAAATGCGTCTTATTTTCTTTACCGAAAGTCTATGAAGCGTATGTCCGCATGAGTTTGAATAGATATATGTATGCATTTAATTTTTGATATATTTTAAAATATAATTGGGATAATTGAGCGGAGTAATTTCAGTTGTTTGTTTAAAGCCGGAATCCGACTTATCGAAAGAAATATTGTTTTATCGTGATTCAATATTTTTAGTAATCAAAGAGTAGCGATGTCCCTAATCTTTAAAAAAGGGGTGGAGTGTTCACATTGAAGTCTGGAGTTCTTGTCTCGACTCCTACTAGCCCTGGGGATGTTTGGTCAAAACGTCGACTAACAAATAATAAAACTCTTGACTGTAAATCCTGACAATTTTGTCCATCCTGATAATTGATCAGTCAACTAATTTCCAATCTCTAAAAGAAAGAAACTATCTTTCTAGTGTTTTTCTCTATCTAAAAAATATCAATATATCGATTAATATTTTCTTAACACATATTCGTAGGCATGACGAAACCCGTCGTTTGTATATAACAGAAAATAACTGATTCTCCTTAAACTAACACCAATTGGACCAGACTCCTATAACTACATTGCATTTTAATCAATAAAAATATTATCTATTATTTTTTTCTTGTTCTTGTTCCAAATTAATTAAATTCTAAGTTTTACCAAACAGAGATAAAAAGATGCTTGCATTTTGTGAATGACAGTACAAAAAACTACCGGACGAATAAGTGTTAAGATCCCAGTCATTGGCTAATTCTATATATTTCTATATTTCTCCGTTTTCCTAAATAACGCCAAGGGAATTGAAATAGTGCGGAAGGCTTGGTGAGATCTCAGTTGAAAAAAATGTTCCGAATTTTCATAATTTAAGCTACGGAAAAATTCCAAAACCATTAATAAACTGGATATAATCTTTTTATTTTGAACTTCATTTTTTCACTCAAAACCGTCTATCAAAAGTAGCGACAAACTGAGTGTTCTATTAGGAAGTAGAATAGTAGAAAGACGTTGATAAAAATGGAGAGAGCAGGGCATACCAGGATCCAGATATTGCACTAACTGCAAACAAATTATTTTAATAAAAGGATTAATTTCATATTATTAATTATTATTTATTTTGAAACCTAAATGCGAATACCTAACTCGGATCCGAGGTTTCTGAAAGTTTAAGTTCTTCGAAATATTCAGTTATTAAGTTTTACGATCAAATACTTATATGAACCAATTATTATCCAATTAAATTTTTAATGTTGCAAAGATAGTTGTTTTTCTCATTAAAGCTTTATTAGTATTAGTCATTGAAAAATATGTCTTTTTAGCTGTTGTTTATGTAATGCGGAGCTCGAAGTAGGTTTCGAAAAGTTTACGTGTTCAATTCCTGATTTTTTATTTTTGAGTAACATAACGTTACACGCTGACAACATGACAACTGTTAACGGACACATGCGAGCCGCTAACAAACGATTCCATGACGAATTGCAAGGACACACATGACATGAGACAACTTCGCAAATAACAATTACTGTTGATATCAGGCCAGGAGGAGTTGCCGCTGGGTACTGTTACCATTGTACTTTACCACGACCAACCAGTACACGGGTTTGTAATATTGTTATTGAAATAATTTATAATATTTGTTACCATAGGATGGCCTGTGGCTTTGGTACGTTACTTATATATCGGTCCATAGTTAGCTGGTGTGAGTCGTTGTATGACATTTTGCTATATAGGTACCACTGGTCCCTTCTAATTTTACAAAGTATTAATTGAGTCGTTTAGCAGTCCCTTTGCAGTCGCAGAACCGTCGCGGGACTGCAGATGACTGACCTCGGAGATAAAAAAGAGCCAGCGACGCCTCTCAGTCTGCCGTCCGTATGAAAAAGTCTTCGTGCCTCGAAGCAGTTGGTGTCGCTATCTATTGCTCCTATCTGGCAATATATCTGCGATGGAATTTACAACTTGCCCGATAGTAAAATTAATAAAATTACAGCAAGGGCAGTTACCTCTTAGTCTAATGACGCTTTATCTTTTAGCTTATTTTATGTTTTGTTTGTGTTCCGTATTTTAAACGATTGTATCTCATTTTATTTCAGTCAAATTAGTAAGTTGCTGCATTGTTTAATTTATTTATGTGCATGAACCTTATCTCTTTATGAAATATTCATTCCAACGATTTATTTGTTTTTATGTTTTTTACTTAAATTAATGGTGGTGAAAATAAAATATAAAGTGAGATATATTAAATGACTTTCATTTAGCATTCGATATTGAGTAGAGATTTTTCTATAACTATGAATATACATTCTATGTACTTTGTATTTCTGATTCGTCAAGCTCAAAATAAATTTCAAATGTTTAATTGAAGAGAAGAATAGTTGGGATGAACAGTAAAAATAAATAATTATATTTAGTCTTGTGTCAGCTCTCCACCTGACCAGCCCTGATGAAAGCTTTTAGCTGAAACGTCGGCAAAAATAAAAATAAATATAATTATTTATTTTTACTGATCACCCCAATCGTTCTTCTCTTTAATTATCACTACAGCCAACCATCTATCCACTATTCATAAGTTTAAATTTAGGCTCTATGAAAAAGTATATTTGATGTTCAATGGTATGGAAGAAGACCTAAAAACCAATTCGAATTATTAACCATTAGTTTTCTTTCAATATCTATTTAGTTGTACGATTTTAAATGTTAGATATTAATTTCCCTAAAATCTTTAGCTTTCCTGTGGTATATTACATTTGTATTGAGTTAAAAAGAAAAAAAATCCAACAATGGAAGACGTCTAATCATTTTAATTAAATAACTAAATAAATGATATTGTGCAGGTTGGGATTTTTAAAATTTGTTTTGATAATATTATACCGACATATTCGACATGTTCAGGTTTTTTTTTCTTGGTTGTTCTCTTTGGTACAGGAGTAATCTTTTAATATAATTTTAAAATATGGTTTAATAATGATTTTTAAAATTAATGTGTATTTATTGTTTTATGTTTATTGTTCACAATTTTGGATTTTATATTAATTTCATAATTGAAATTATTTTAACTGTCTGATTTTTACCGAATATGATTTTTAATTTATCCTTAAGAGAGTAGTATCTGTAATGTAGTATAAAAAAGAAATGAATTTGTATTTCCTTAAGGATAATAATGTTTGTTAATCAGTGATCGACTCCATTTGTACAGGGCTCTTCAGTTAAAACAAATAAAGATTTGAATATTATAACAAAATTACGATTTGATTTTAATCAAAATAGAGTAAGTTTAAGTAAAATAGGTGATATGAAGAAGCAATTCTAGTTATCCAATTTTAAAAGATTGCTTTAACATCCTAAGCATGTACGGTTTTTCGGTTTTGAGATGACACTTCACGTACAAACCTGAACTATGAAATTTAATTGATTTATTTCTTTAAAATATATCTATGCGTTACTGATGTTATAAACCAAATATTTGTTTTCATTTAGCAGAAACTTATATTACATAACGTGGTCCCTGAAGACATATCCCAGAGAGAAGGACAACTTGGATTACGCGATTCACTTTTAAGTCACGTTGTTACTTAGCGGCGATAATTAAACTTTTGATTGGGAACCGACTAAAGTTTTATCATCCCTTTCTCCCTCCCCCAGGGACAAGACGTGTGCTCGGAATAACGGATCTGCAACACGTTTTAAATTGACAACTGGTTCATTACGACATACCGTTAGGATCCTCCTGGAAAATGTACATAAATTGTAAAACTGACTGTAAAGCCAATAATCGTGGATAATTTATTTTGCTATTGGCTTTACAGACCTTGTAGAACTTTTACTGCCTTAATCACCCTTCCCCATCTCTGCCTCTCTTGGGTTATTTCTTTCCATTTATCTGCGTGCGGTTCTATTCCATCTTTGTTAATTCCATCTATCTGTATTTGCTACTGTAGGGAATGCTATAATTTTTTATTTGATTTTATTATTAGGGAACGTAATAACTAATATTTTTAGAATATTGTTTTTGTAATTTTATTTCTCTCTTCAAATATTCATCCGCACCTAACACAGACGTGACAACGTTAGCAGATATCTTGTTAATGTTAAGAAAATTGTATTTACGACATGAGAAACAAAAGTACTCAGCAACATCTTTTTCTCGTTTTTATTGACTTCCTGAATTCAGGAAAGGAGATCTTTCATCCAGCACGTTTTCATTTTCCTCTTGATGAGCATGTCAGCCGTGGCCATGTCTTTTATATGTCTGTAGTTGTATTTGTGTAGTTTATAATTAAATCGAGAGGTGAAAGTACGTATGTTAACTGTTGATTGTCTTTAATCGGCATGTAAAGTTTTCTTGTTTACGAAGTGGCTTCTGTTTATTTTAGGAGTATTTTATAAGTTTGTACTTTTATAAGTTTTTTTTTTTGGTGGACTGTAAATCTGTGAGATGTATGTCCGTTTAAGTACTTATGTCTTTTAAGTAATTATGGGTTTAAGTACTTATGTCTAATTGTTTATTTTCGGTCCAATTTCCTACAAATACATATTCTGAGAAGAAAAACCTACGAATGTTTTTTTTTTATTAACTTAATTTTTCAACTCACACCTGTCAGAAGTTCCGAAAATCAGCGAGTGTAATGTCAAGATGTAGAAGGTTGAAAGGTCATGGAATAGGCATGAGAGAGAGGAGTGCCCAACGGCGTCATTCCTGTCTTGAATTTATTATTTATAGTTAGTGGAGGAGATCCCTCATCCAGCTTCTTTTAAGCCTCCTTCGGGTGCTATCGGGCATGTCAGTTGTGGCCATGCCCGAAACACAATGAGTTGGTATTACAATGGTATGTCCTTGTACGTTATTATGAAATCGTTTGTAGTGTGTTCGTATGTGGTCGTTAACTGTTGGCATCTGTAAGTCGTTATGTAAAGTAATGTTACTGACGTATCAGGGGGCCTTGGTGATAGTCCTGAAAGTTTTAGATTGAAAAGTCTGTAGTTTACGTATGTCTCTTTGGCTGCCCCGTATACCTGTGAAGCGTAGGTCCGAATGGACTTAAGTAGGTATTCGCATTCAATTTCAAGTTTTCACTGTTACTTTACTCCAAGAGTTTAATAGATAGATTTTCAAAGAAAACTTAACATCGCTTTTATCAATATTTACACATGATTATTTTAAAATTGTTATCGCAGCTACTTGGTCCACTGCTGACAGAATATTCTGTTGTGTTTTCCCCTGCCGGAGTGTACCTTTCTTATTCTGAAAACCCGAACTGGGATAAGAGGGACCCTCGAACGCCTCCTCCAGCTTTCCCTTAGGGACCAGGATCATTTTTCTGGGGAATAAGCTGTCAGGCGGCCGACTGCACACCGACCTCCTCCAGCTGTAGCAGCCAACCTCCGCCTCCTAGATCTGCGACAGATATTGATGGCGGCGGCGGATGATCAATACGGAGCTAATAATTGGCTGAGCGGCGGCGCTGAATACAAAGCGACACGCGGCTCGACTGCCGAGGAACGACGCCTTATGAATTTTATTCGGGGCCCTCTCAGCCCCCCCCCCGTGTCCTGCTTCTGCTTCGGTTCGGCCCTTTTTTATCCGCTATGTATAAGCAATCATGGTCATATTATATTTCTGTTTATTCACTTCGATATGTATATATATATATATATATATATATATATATATATATATATATATATATATATATATATGTATATATATAATAATAATAATAAGGCTTAGTGAACCCGAAGGTTCGATACCGACACCACCAACTGCTCATTACACACCTCCCTCCACCGTTCGCCGTCCAAACCCAGTCTCTTCAGATCGGCTTTAATGCAATCTTCCCACCTACGCTTCGGTCTACCCCTCGGACGCTTACCATTCGGCACAGCAAATATTAACCTTTTAGGAATTCTCTCGTTACTAAGCCCAACAACTTTACAAGCCCATTTGATTCGCCGCGATGAAATTACCTCAATTATATTACCCGGATACAGCTCACGCAATTCGGTGTTGTGTAACCGTCTGAACTCTCCGGTTAACTCATCCTTCTTCGGTCCGAATATTCTACGCAATACTTTATTTTCAAAAACCTTAAGACGCTGCTCATCCCTTAATGTAATCGGCCAAGTTTCGCATCCATAAAGAACTGTAGGCAAGATAATTGTTTTATAGATTCTAATTTTTAAGTTTCGGGACAAGAGGCGCGAACTAAATAGTTTTGTCACAGAAAAATAACAAGCATTTCCCGCCTTCAGTCTAACCTTTATTACTTCTTCAATTTCGTTTTTTCTAGTTATCGTAGAACCTAGATACCTAAATTTATCTACCTGTTCAAACATATTACCATCTATATCGATATCACCAGTAGTATCGCCATTTTTGCAACTAACCATATATTTTGTTTTATCCACGTTTATTTCGAGTCCTAGTTCTCTAGTTAGTCCTAGTATATATATATGAATATATATATATATATATATATATATATATATATATATATATATATATACATCTGGCCAAAATAAAATAATAATAAAACAAGAGAAAGTAAAGAAAATATTAGTTAAACAAGCTATATACAAAAAAAAAATCTATGTACAAAACAATTAAAACTATGTACAGTACTAAAAATTATAATTATACACTTTTCAAAAATTAAAAATACATTGAGTTCTTCTTTGAAATGAGCCGATCCCAGCTGAGCTGCCGAGAAGAGATGCAGTCGCCTGCTTCCGCCTGGCCACTAAACACGACTATCTGCAGAGTCTTCTCTACAAGACAGGCGTGGCTGAGGATCCTTGTAAATTGTGTCCTCAAGGAACAATGGATGCAGACCATCTAGACGCATGTCCTGCCTTGAGGGACACAAGAGAAAAAATATTTT